TGATTGGCAGCTGCCACATTTTTTCCCTTTCCCTTACCTTTCTTTCTTCCGTGCCGGGCCGCCGGCTTCTCCCTTCTTCTTCTTCTTCTGATTTTATCTTCTTCTTGGCTTGATTTCTAATTCATCCTACATTGAATTCCAAAAGGTTAATTAGAACAAAACATTCCAATCATTTGTCCTCATTGTGAAAATTGTCCCTATCATTTCAAATTTGGTATTTACACCTTCATTTCAACATTTTTTTTCTTGGAATTGATCATTTCCGTCTCATTCCGTCAATTTATTCTATAAATATGGGTAATTGATGCAAAAAGTCTCTATCGTATGATTTCATTACACAAAATATCCATTTTGTTTGCCTTCATTAGGCAAAAAATTCATTATCGTTTATTTTCTCTATTAAAACCTTCATATTTAAATAAACAAATAGAAATATATATATATATATATATATATATACAATTGTAGCTGGAAATCCAATTTTTTTTTAAAATACAAATGAGTCTCACGTAAAACAATTTAAAATGTTTTAAAAGAAGAAAAATGTTTTATCTTCTCATTTAACCCCACCTACACCTACCTCTACCCTCCTTCACCACCACCACCACCACCAAAATAATTAAAAGTATAAAAATAATAATAAAAGAAAAAAAACAAAAAAAAAACAAAAAAATGATTCTTCTTCCCTATCCATTTCGCACCCTGCCTATCTACCGCCACTACTACCACCCCCATCCATTCAGCCCTTTCCATTGCGGTACCATTTAGGAATTTACCTATTTTCTTGTGACCAAGTTTCTTGTCTAATTTTTTTTTCAGAAAAATTACGAGAAACTTTTAAGGGATTTAACTATTTTTAACAAATTCTTGTTTCTATCTTCTTACTGCTTATTACACTCACTCACTCTCACACACACACTACATCAACTTTTAAATTTTTCTCTGATTTTGTTCAAGTTTATTTTGCATCACAAAATGATGTTTGAAGATGGAATTTTTTCTTCCATTAAAGGGTTCATTCAACATCTTAATCCAAGCTTCAATCCCAATTGTTAATAAATACAAACCCAGATAAGATGATTTTTTTTTTTTTATTTTGGAAGTTGGCCTTTTTTTTTATATGCTTTAAATTATGTTAACTGGAACTCGTTTTAAGTATTTGAAAATTTTAGGACTTTAGCTTTTTTTTTTTT